GCAGTGGCGAGATGCTGCGATGGGTGGAGGGATGGAGGGTGAGGAATGGCTGGGGACACTCTTCAGCCTGGAGAAGAGAAGGCTAAGGACGTGTCTGCTGTCACCAACACCCCAGGAGGGGTTATGGAGAAGCTGAGACTGAGGCTCTTCTCAGAGGTACACGAAGAAGAGTGAAAGATAAGAGTTGCAAGTCGCAAGGAAAGAAATTCTGATTGAGCATAAGGAAATTATTCCAAAGCGAGAGAAGCTCAGCCCTTCAGCAGATATGCCCAGCTGTGTAATCTTTCTTCATGGAGATAGTCAGAGCTCTCCTGGAGAAGTCCTTGAGCTCACATGAGGAAATTATCCCTGATTGCAGTACAGGGCAGGAGCCCAGACCCTCTAGAGATCCTATCTTTCAGTTGTGTTCTGATGGGATAACCTGTTTATCTCATGAACAGCCAGTAGAACTGAAAATCTCAGTGTGTGCTAAGAAAAAGTCTGGATACCTCAGGGTATATCAAGAGCAAACCATATATATTTGTGATGATGACCTACAAAATTTACCCCATCAGCTCTAGATGGTCCCAAACTTTGTGCTGCCCCCTCCGTGTCCACTTCTCAACACAACTGCATTTCTAATTCAAAATTCCAGCAGAACACATACAACCACATTCATACTACCTATGTTTTTGGGCTTGTGGTCACTTTCTCACACAAGAGTATAAGTCTGCCAACCTCTTGTGGTCACATTTTGCACCACTATGCATAATATGTTGTATTTTCAACAAAGAGGAGGAAGTTTCTGGCCAGAGACACATTTGATGGTCAGAGGAGAGGCAGACACTCACTGAATGGTGTCAGGCAGCAGCTTTTCCCATGATATATACAGCCTGTTTCAGTTTTGTCACTGAATGGGAAGAAAGTCCCACCCAATCCATGTGAATCCTGTTATTTGCATTCTGTTACCTCACTCAGACCTACAGAAAATCACTGTTCAGGCAAATGATATGTTATGTGTTTATGCAATTTAAGACTATTTCGTCCACAAGTGATTTTCTATGCCCTTGAAAAGATTGACCACAAACTAACAACTCTTTAAAATACTTACAAGCTGTATGAAAAGGGAAGAAAAATATGGAGAAATATATTTCTTTGATGCTTCCTCAACCTGATTCCTTTCTGAGTTTAGATGAAGAAATAATGTATTGATTTGCATATGGTTGAATGCAAATTTTCCAAGTGTGCTGTTTATTACAACCCTCTCCTCAGGCTCTATTTCTGTGTCTCAACCACTCCACCTAGAATCAACGCTGAAATTTTTCATAGAGGCAGTGGAAATTATAAAGTTGCTTATGCTTTTGCATTCAGTTTATTATGCATTGTTACCACTCCTGGTTTAGACATATAATGTTTCTGTGAAATCACACAAAATGAAGATACAGATCTAAAATCCTGTGCAAAACCTGATTTCTTCAAACTACCTGTGATATAGTGCAATAAAAGCATATGTACCATTTTTGATCAAGAGATAGCCATAATGCTTTAACACCAAGCATGAAGAGTAAGAATCTGTAACTTTTCCAAAGGGGAGAATACAATTTAAGAGCAACAAAAAATTAACATCACTAATTTGTAATATGGCACATATCTCAGCTCTTTACAACCGATCTTCTTTAAATTTGCTATTAAAATGCACCAAAATTCAGTAATTACACAGATTCACAGTTTAATCTAGGCTTAAAAGATGTGTAGAGATCATCTAGTCTCAGCCCCTGCTCGAAGTCAGTCCCAAGGTTGTGTCTCATCAAGTTCAGACCATCTCCATGGATGGAAATGCCAGACATGGTGCTGGAGTGTCCAACCACCCTCGTGGTAGAAACATTCTCCATCATGACAACCCAAAATTTACCATGCTTTGACATGTGTCTATTGGCCCTAACAATATCACTGTGCACCTCTGAGAAGAAAGGACCTGCTTAGACAACTCTAAGAACCTGCAAGTTCAACTCTAAAAAATCAGGAAGTGACAAATGGTCTTGCTTCTGCTTCTCTGCTGTAAGGGCCACTCTGCAGTTTTCACTGAAAGCATCAGGTGCCACCATTTTTTGCACAGGATCCCACAGCTTTCCAGACCCAAAATACAAACCACATTCTGCAGGGAATAAAACAGTCTTTAGCAAGATGTTTCCATTATTGGGAGAAAATTTGCCTATTCTGCTCCCTAGGCTATTGTGCCTGGCCTCTTGGCAGGTCCTGGGATGCTTCATTAATTCCACCTCAATTACCTCAAACCATTCAACATGTGGTGGCATGTGTGGCACCCTTCCCACTAATTCACCAAACTTTTTACCCATAAATTAATTTCCTTATTGATAAATGAGGAGTACAGATACTATTTTGCTTCTCAAGAGCAGTTGGAGCAGAAGGAGCTGGTGTTTGTAAAGTCTCAGATTGCACAGCTTGGAAAAGAGGCTGAAAAAATTAATAATTGTGTGTTTACTGTTTGTATCATAAATATGGCTTGAGATTATCTACTTAACATTAGCAGACAGTTACTCATCTAGTTACTATAATGGAGCAAAATTTTCTTTAAATGTCTTCTGTTACCTCATGGATCACTCTATTAAGTGTTTTAACATCACAAGATAGAAGCAAGACCTGCCCAGGCCTAATAAACCTACATGAATGGAACTGAATGTACTTTTTCTTTCTGGTTCAGTAGACATTACCACACTATCCAAAAAAGTTCCAGTGGCCATTCTTATATGTTAAAAAGGAAAATCAAAGGAGAATATTTTTAGGAAATTAGCATGCTTTGTGATTTTCTAGAATTAGGGCTGATAGTGTTTGTAACCTATTGAAAATATGAATTAAATGATTCAGACTAGCAATGCTTATACATAATGAAAGCTATTTGTGTTGCCAATAACTTTATATGTCATGAAATCATTTTATGATGTTAAAACCCACACTGAAACACAGCAGGAAAGAGAATAAAAATTAGATGTTAAAAGCAGTTATAAGGGGCGGTCTACTAAAGTTTCCCAAACAGAAAACTTCAATCCCATCTCATTTCTGCCAGGTAAATAACTCTTTTGATTCTACGAAAAAAATATACCAACTCCTATATTCTACTTTAGCAAGTTTGTGACTTGCTATGTGACTTGTCAAAATCAACCTTGTGAATCTGTGCAATCTGCATTATCAGACCCTGATTTATCTATGGCTAAACAGTGAATCTCACTGAAGCCTGTTTTAAAGGCACTGGGGAAAAAAAGGTATATTAAATTCCTGTATAGAAGTGAAAAACATTATCCAATAAATTGCAAATAACCTACATGGGAATATTTTCTAACTTTTGAGCATCTTCTACATAAAAGTTCTTGTTTCCACTAGTATTTTTAATGAGGACTTATTAAAGAAATCCTAGAGGCAAAGGGCGCTCTCTGCCTGTTGTCACAAAGTGGGAACTGGTTTCATTTTGTATGAGTAGAGATTAAATCTTCTGAAGCTTTCCTCAGCTTCATCCTAATTTTCCTATAAATACTATAGCTGCAGGAATGCCAGCTCTACAAGTGCAGAAAGACTAGGCAAGCTTTTACTGAAGTTGAATGCTTCAGGATTTATTTTCCAAAACCAAAAGCACATCTCAGTGCATATAGTACACACACATACACACACGCACACACATATATATATAATCTATACCATCTTTCTAGTCATAAATTAAGCAGGCCAAGGCAATATTCCAAAAGATTATTAGTATTACAGCTCTAGTTCATTTGTCTCTATCCTGGAAAGAGCAAGCTACCTTCAGTACTGTGGCATTTTATGAAATGTGAAGTATCATGCTAGTGTTCATGAACAATTTTACCACTTTGCTTTCCCTTTTATTCTACAATTTAATCCTGAATTCACATCTTGAACATTAGTGCTAAGCTGCTTTACTGCCTGAGATGTCTTCATGTTGGTATCCTGTAATAAAACCTGGTGCAATTAAGACACATTTCAACATTAAATGGATTCCAGCTGGAAGACAAGAAAAGGGGGAGCGATGTTTTCTCCGATTAGTGATGTTCAGGCACTGTTATTCTGAGATGCTGTTCCCTCTGTGGATACAAAAATGTACCACTTGCAAGTCTGTCAAACACCTTCATGCACCGTGCCTGCAGCTGCAACCCCAGTACCTGCCACCAGCCCAGATCCCAGTAAACCTTATTCCCTACTGGTGGCCACTGCCAGGACAAAGGCCGTTGGTAAACAAAACTCCACCAGCAGACAGGGCTTCTTTTAATTCCCTAAAAACCCCTTAAAGCCTCACGGAGCTGTCTGAAGAATCCCTTTCCTTCGTGATATCTCTGCTCTTTCTGAGAGCCACACAGAGCCTGGACAGCTGGGGTGTAATATCACCAAGTACCTTGAGTACCTTGAGTGGGGAAATTTGGTGCATCTGTTTCTGCATTATGGATTGTCTTTAAAAGTTTCTTTTTCCTTGATAATTTATTTTGAATTTTGACAATAATTAATATTTTTCATTCATTTCCCCTTGGGTGCATCTAAGAGATCAAATGTCACAGTGAGTATGGAAGATCTGACTGGCTCAAGTCCCCAGTTCAACTTCACATTTAGATCCAAGGTTGGCACGGATGGAAATACCTATATATAACACTTTATGAACCAGAAGAACATAGAGAAAAAATCTCAGGGTTGAATAATCAGTATTTATTTTGCATTCCTGATTGATTTTTGAGCTGTTTTGTTGGCAAGATAAAACAAATCAAGGCTCTTTGTTTGAAAAATATTAGCTAAAGATTTTCCAGTACAACTCTTTGTTGTTTTCTCCCACCACTTTACAACTGCAGATGGTTTGTTCTTTACAGACACATCTCAAACACATTAGTACTGGACGGCACTAAAGCTTCAGTTAACAAGAATAAACATAGCCGAGCAGATAATAATGTACTTTTAACATTTTTTCCTTTTTGTTCAGTGATATTGTTAGGGAAAACATTACATACCCAACATTCTCTGCATCTTCATCACACTCAGCCCTATATTTGCAAACTCCACATTTTGAGTGTTTTCTCTGAACTTCTGTCCCAGATCCTTCATACTCTGAAAAAAAAAAACAAAAACCAGAAAGCATGACTTTCAGATTAAGCTCTGTTTTTGCTTACCTAAATCCATTTGCCTTCAGGAATACTGTCAACATAAAGCTATCATATACTGAAGCTATTAACCTTAATAGTGCTCCCTTTTTGAAAGTCAGTCAATTGGAGGTTGTTAGAACTGTACCAGTGATAGGAAAGCATCCCTGAAAACACTAATGCTTCATTGATTGGCTCTTCCTTTATTCTTATTTCAGTCATTTTTATTTTTTCCTGCTTCAGCAGGCACATAACTGGCATTGACATGTATCCCAGTCACATTACTCTTAATTGCCACTGATAATGTACAAACCCTGTCCCTTTAGATGTCCTTGAATATAAGGTACTGGGGATTTAGATACTATTTTCTGTGACAGTCTTTAGTTACAGATATCCTTATGCAAGGTTACTGCTTGCTTTTTTCCCCTTTTAGATTCCTGACTATGAGCTTAGACTGTGCTCATATGTCATATATGCTGTGGTGTATTTTCCAGACTACTTTGTTTAGTTCTATAGGAATAAAAGAAAAAAGTCATCCTAACAGGAATCTGGTAGAAATGCTATGTAATGTAAAAAGTAAAGTCAATGTCTCAAATATTCTGATCCTAAAAACATCTACAATAATTTTATTGTTGATATGGACATGAAAAGTCTTCACCAAGTAAAAGAGAAATAAATGATACTCTTACTGTTTCACTACCATTAGCCACTCCTATTTTTGATTTTTAACAACATGATGAAGGAGAGCTAGGTATTTGAAAGGAGGGAAAAGAACCACAGAAATCTGCAGAGGGAGTCGAGATCCACTGAAAGTATCACAGTACTGTGGTGGAGCACAGCTGACTGCACAAGGCTGCCGGATGGACAGAGATCAAAGTGATTCCAATTCCTTTCCTCATAGCAGCTTTATGTGCTGTAGCAACAATAAATCAAATACCACCAGTGAAACAGCTGAATTTACATTCTTTAAATACAAGTAGGAAAAAGAAATCCACAATAGCTCTTCCTAATTTCCCTGGATCTTGGCTGCAGGGAATCTCTCCCTCTGACCTGTGGGGCTGTGTTTCCATGAAGAATGGTGCAGGTGAGACCTGCAAGCTAACTGCCTTCTGTCTAAAGCATGCTGTGTATTTTCCAGAGATTAATACCTATCAAACAAAATTCCTGCTACAGAAATTCCATCACCACTCTTATCAAGTTGCAGTAGAGGTCGTCTGCTTTTATCTTTACAAATGCACATCTTATTTGATTTCTCCTTCTTTCCAGGTGCCACATTCCTACGTCTGCATTTGCCACTTTAAAGTGTCCTTTAGTGTCAGATTTCACTTTTCCATGCTAATAAGTGATCCCTTATGGTTTGAATAAGTTAAACAAATGGCACTGCTTTCATTCATGGCATTTCCACTTCTTTTTTCTGTTCTTATGACCCTTGATGCCCCTTGCCAGCAAGTTGACACCTTCTGGAGTTACAGGTATAAGAGCTGGACACATTGTTACAGAAAAGTTGTTATAAATCCAAATACCATTCATGACATTCTTCATTTTAAACATCCAACAATCATATTACTTTTTGACCATTTTTCTGCACTGAAAATCATATTTATTATCCACTTTATTCCCCAATGAATACTTTTCAGGGTCAACAGTCTGTAGGAGAGATGTTTTCCTGACATCAAGGAAAAATTACCTAGGTCCTGGAGTCGCTGCAGATAACTGTGCTCAGACATTAAAATCCTGCCTGTTTATGCAACCTGTTAGCTCAGTGACCTGTTTTCTGTCATCCACACCAAAGCAGTGCTGACTGATTTGCTCCCAGGTCACCAGTGGAAGGGGTCATGAGGCCAAGAACAGTCTCTAGAAACACACTCATTTTCTACCAACTCCTTAACATTTCATGATCTATTGATTTGCAGTATTTTTTCACGTTAGATATGCAATGTGTGGGTGCTGTGCTCTCTAGTTACTTAGGCTTCTAGGGGATTAAAGATCACATTTCACTGAGAAAGGTTATGGCTCTGCGGTGGCATGCTTAAATAAAATGCTCTGTTGTACAAATGCCTTTCTTAGAAAAATCAGTTTTAAAAATTGTAATTTTCTCAATAAAGGTTTTCCATGAACTCATAGTGACTGGCATTAATATTTTTCCCCTCACTTAATTCTGTACTCAGTTGGTTTTTCTACCTTCTATTTCACTGCTGTGCTTCTCATAGGTGCCAGAGGGATAAGCTGTTTCATCCCAGTCATCACATTTATCTTTTCTGAAAATATTTGTATACTATTTGTCATTATTCTACTGAAGAAAAAGAGATGAAAAGTCATCAACAGCCTAGAGAATTCTTTACCACCCATTTTTAAAGCTTTAAGATGCAAACCTGGCAAATCTGCTGTTTACAAAATACTTCTTTAACATTTGGTGCTTAATATCCTTCTATGGTACCACTAGCATGGAAAATATTTCATCATACCCCATTTATACTATCTGACTTGACTACAAATGCAACCAGAACGCTTTACTGAGCACTTTTACCGCACTATTAGCATTTCAATTTTGCAATGGGGCAAAACAAGTAACACACACACAAGCACGTGCAATATACACACCTTTCCTCTTGAGCTCTAGTTCTGCTCCCTGTGAATGTCCCAATACCTTTTTTATTTTCAGAATCATAGTCCACAACTACTTGTTCATTATTTCTATATGCTATTTGATGTAAAATTCTCTCTCTCTCCTTTCCTCCTCCTCCCTGCTGCCTAAAATTGTTTTCTTTACCTTTTAAAATGAGGTTTGTTTTTAAAAAAGTGTGACTTTTGGTTTTTTCTTGATCAAAACTTGCTGGACCTCATGTACATTGGTCACCTACAATATTCACAAACATTTTTCACTACTATGTTTTAGCAGTAACAGTATTAGACACTGCATGTAATATAGACTGATGTCCTGTTGTGGTTTAGGAATGGTACTCCCCATTCAGTGTCCCCAGCAAGAGTCTCTAAATCATGTGCTGTTCTCTGGCTCTGCTCTCCCCTCACCTTTGCCCCTGTGGTGGGATGGAGTGGCAAATTGGAGGCACAAAAAGTAAAAGTCATGGGTTGAGGCAAGAAAAATATACTGGAGACAGATAAGAAAACTAATACTAACAGCAACAATATTAATAAAAGTGCATAGAAGAGAGAGTGATTCACGTGCTAAAATGCACACAGCAGCACCTAACCCGACTGCAGCCATGCAGAAAAGAGCCATTCCTTCTGGAAAAACCTCCCCTTCCCCCGCCCCCAGCAATGATGTGAGGTGGTACAGAATAACTTCTGGGTACTGGCCAAGCAAAAATGAACATTGTCCTGGTTGGAACCAGGACAAGTCCTTCAAAAAAACACAATATAATACCCCACAATACAATTTCCCACCAATACAGAGTAGATGAATATTGTTTTTCAACCTGAATTGGTAGCAGACCTGTACAACTGTATCCTGCTAAAATATGTTAACCCATTAATATTTGAGAGCATGTTTCTCTGGTGTAAACCTCTCCAAATAAGCATTATATCCCTTGACTTATTGTCTCTCCCTTCTCCTTTCTTCCCCTCATTTGATTGTTCCTACATAGGTTGTAGGCATTAATTTTAATATTCCAATCAATCAGATCTTTCCTGTAGGTTTCAGCAATAACAATTAGTTCAAAATATGCTCCCAAATGAGCAATTGAGGCTCCTCTTGTTTATTATTCAAGCTTCTAATATTGACGTATAGATGACTACAAGAATTTCTTCATTTTGGTTTTGTTGATATTCTGATTAATTCTGTTCTTGACATATTAATCTGATATTGAGTGAAAGCTCATTTTCCCTCTTCTCAGCTTCCTTACATGTTTCAGGGCAGTGCCTTATTAATGCTCTGTCCTTCAAAAGAAACAAGGCACAAAGATAGGATCAGTGACTCCCAGTTGTCTCTCTGAGCTGTGCTCCCTAACCCTTCTCCTTGAGTCATTATTCCTCTGCAAAAGACGGCCAGCTATATCTTAGGAGCTGCAGGGTAGGAGCCTGCCAATGGACAGCAGCTCTAGAGGAATTGGGCAGCAGTAAATTGCTTCCCTCAGCAGCTCATTTGTGTGCTCCTACAACGGTAATGTGGTTGGGTTTCTGCTGAGGGCTTTCAATCAGGCCTAAAGCAAGAGCATCCATCTGTGTCAAGGTGAAGTTTGGTCTGCCCTAAGGCGCAGCTTGGAAAGGGAGCTGTGCTGTGTATTTGTATCTATCACTGTTCCCAGTGAAGAGGGGGGAGCTGCAACTCCTCAGAGGCCATGTATAGATAGAGTTCCTTGATAGAATGTCCAGGAAAGCCTCTCTGGAAACCAATTCCTAACTGGTTTTGGATTATAATGATTTTTACTGTATTTTATGGGATCAACTAATCCCAAAAAGATTTCTGACTGTGATTCCCTCAGTACGGCTAGCACTGGAAATTCTTCTCAAAATACTACAGTCCACACAATTGCACATTAAGGACTGTAATTCACTCCAGAGCTTAGTGACTTATCCTACATTCCATTAACTTTTAGGGCAACTTTATTGACGCACTTAGTTAAAAAGGAGATTGTTCACATAATTCAAAACAAAGCTGCAAACCTGCTCTTTTTGTCTCTAAGCATGTATTTAAAGCAAGTGCAACATTACTGTTAGTTCTCCCAAAATTTTGGAAAGTGATGTCTTGAATTCTCTTGACCATGCTGCTGGATTGTATACAAAAGGAATATTTGGCAGTGTGGAAGGTCCTGCTCTCTTATACAATCCCCCAGCTGGCTTAGAAGTAAAGCCTGGCTTGGTACAGCAGAGATCTATATGTAGCTGAAAGATCCTTTCCATTTCCAGTCTGGACCACACACTGCTGCTTCAAGCATGCTTCAGTAAAGGCACCAGCCATTTCAGCCTTTGGAATTGGATTTTGCATCCAGAACTGGCATTACAGGCTTG